TATGGGTATAACTGATTAGAAAAAAAACAGAGTTGAGGGTGGCAAGAGACACACCTAGTTTGTGTGCATTGTACTTCGACAACGGCAGATATTATGCATGACAAATTCTCAAAGGCTAGACACAAAACAGAAATAAGAATCCAAAAAATGGTCCACCTCTTAACCTGTAGGATATGGTACATACATCATATGGTTCTTCATGGCTCCCAGTGTTCAGTTCCAAATTCATAATACACTGGTGAATTTGAAACTGGACATATTATAAAATCATTTTGTCTAGAGTAGCAAATGCCACATTTGATGGCATCAATCACACCGGGGCTAAAGTTATACAGATTCTGGGCCTCTGAAGCACATCAGTATCACCCACCCTCACCAGCTCTGGAATAGCAAGTCCAATACCAGACAGAGTTCCCATGCCAGGTGAGGAATTCTCCTTTCAGAGCATGGCCTCTTAAGACCGTGATGCAGTCTGGAGTAGGAACTATGCCGACACTGGATCGAGTTTTTTTTTCTTCCAGAAATGGTGAAGTTTGAGAGGTATTGATTTGGGTTCAGAGGCATGGCCCAGAAACTTCTCTCCAAGACTTTATCAGCATGAATTGATATCTACAGAGCACGACTCCAGCACCTTCAGATGTATTTCGTGTTCACATCGCGGAAAGCGAATGAGAAGACGTTAATTTTATTACATTTGCATGGATTTATTTTCACAAAATTGGAATTTTTTTATGTTGAACATCAACGGTTATTTTTTTTTCAAATTGATTTTACAAATATCCTTATTTGTTCACATCAGAATCAAATCATGGATTAAGTGCGACGGAAAAAAGTCGATTTCTTAAACCAAAGAATAAAATAACTGCCGCCTAACCATATTCACAATGTAATTCATACTGCTAAGTTCACATGAATGACATTATATCAGATCCTCCACTTGGCGATCCAGATATAAAATATGAAACCTCTTTTCGGTTGACAGAAAAGTGCAGAACAACCAGTGAATTATGTTCATGCATCGTTGGGTAACAATGAGGAACAATGTCAAGGCGACTCCCCTTTCCTGCGATGTGACGGGTCAATGGAGCATTTTGCAATGTCCATACATTTTGTGGATTCTCTGTGTTACTGCGTGATACAAAAAGAGGAGCGTACACACACACACACACCACACACACCACACACACACACACACACAGAGAGAGAGAGAGAGAGAGGAGAGAGAGAAGAGAGAGAGAGAGAGAGAGAGAGAGAGAGAGAGAGAGAGAGAGAGAGAGAGAGAGAGAGAGAGAGAGTAAAGAGAGAGAGAGTAAATCCTCCGTCAGCAAAAGTGAGGACGACGATGCTCGCGTTCCCATCTTCATCGGTGGACTGAAATCCCGACAGCCAGTACGCACCGCCAAGGCCTTTGGGTATTCCCGCACTCACTCTCCGGCCACAAACGCGTTGATTGCCTGCACGAGGAAGTGGGTTTGACGCGGGAGGAGGAAGAGGCGGCTGTCTGTCACCCGATCCAGGGGGCCGTCCGCAAACCTGTACCAGACGTCAGAGATAAATGTCTGTGCACTGAGACGTGAGGGTACGAAGAGAGGGAAAACGGATTGATAGGATGATATAGCATAAAATGAAGGAAATTTTAAAACTTACTGGGCTTTGTAGACAAGGTTGTTTTTGGATAAACATGAAGACTCCTGTATGCGGATCATGTAGTCGTACAGGAATCCCAAAGCCGTTTCCTCATCTTCCTCGGCGAGTGGACTTTCTTCGTCAGACACCCTTTGGTTCCTCGTCGAACCACCTGGGAGAATGCAGCCTTTCTTTACGGGACGTGGACAAGACTCTGTAAAAAAGTTACTGTGCATTTGAAAAAGATACAGGGGGATATATACTACCTTATTAACACATAGTTACGTGTACACAAACATGAAAAGGAAACAGCCACAATAAGAATTAAAACTGAAACGTTTCAGTTCCATTCCACAAAGTGGACGTTTCCTTCCCTTGCTACACATTTCCAAGAAAGAGCAACCTGTTCTTAACGCACCACAATCTTTATTCCGGGACTCTGGAAGTACCAGAGGAGAAAGGTCACCCTCAAGACCCTGGCGAAGGGATCTCGAACCAGCACCCGACCCTCTCCCTCCTTCGGCGTCGGAAAACCTCTCGAGGTCCCCATCCTGCACAGGAATCCGCACGGAAGACCTGTGAAGATCCTGCAGTCGCTCCCCCTCTTCGGACACCACGAGGATCTTCAGAACAGCCGGGTTGCGAAGGGTGCGCACCAGCCACGCCGTCGAGTCATGCAGTTTGTCGAAATCGTAGACGTCATGCAGGTCAAGAATCTGGAGGACGAGCGTAAACCTTGAACTGCAAGCCCGGCCACTAATGGGCACTGGTGAAAGAAACTGAATTATTTGTTATGCGACGCCTTGCAGGCCATTTTGAGACAGAATCTTGGAAAGCAAAAGAAGCAGTGCTAGGAAGGTGAACAAAAAGTCATTAGAAACGTTAACAAAGATGATGAAGATTAAAAATGACAACTGTGATGAAATTAATGATAATGATAAAGTAATGATAATGACATAATGTGATCATGGAATGGAAAAACACTACCGTGTTGATATGGTAGAAAACCCCATAATGCACAAACTAGATTTATTGAAGAAAGTGAGACAACCGTTTCGAAAATGAAGAAAAAATTATTAAACAAGTAAAATGACAAAAAGAAGAAATTAAACAAGCAACAACCGACCAACTTGCCTCACACGCCGATCTCTCTCTCAGTTCTTGGAGGAGTTCCTTCGCTTGTGGAATCACGTCCTTTGCATACACGAGCAGCGCGGCTTTGCTCGGCGCGGCGGCGGCCGGAGGAGGCTGCGTCGGGTACACGGGCGCCGGCGGACCTGAGGCGGCGGCGCCCTCGGGGCTGCGGCCTTGAGCGAGAGTGGATTTCTTTTAGGGGATTGGCGCGCACACACAGACACACACACATATATAAATGTATATTTGTCTTTGGCTATTCAGAGCTGTCTCATCTGATTATCAGGATGAAAAGCTGGATTGCCTCTAGGCTTTCCAGCTGCCACGGGGTAGCCACAAGCATGGCAGTCTGTCAGAGGAAGCATATAGGATTTAGCAAGGCGTCTGGCCCATCACTGTCAACTTTCTTGGCTCTTTATCGTCGGGCACAGTCGAGGTAGAGAGGATTATCTCACTTGGCGAAACTTCAGTCAGCCACGTATGGCCAGCTAGACCGCAACATGTGCTTTTATAAGATCCCTTCCCTGGTGGTGAATACTCAAAGACACCACAATTGCGGATAAAACGGCACGCAAGTTATATGGCGTATCCAAAAGGCTGACAAATAATTAACAAGAAAAAGAGTTATGCTGCAACCCCCAACACCATGAAGAGTGTCATGGTTACCGATAACGTAAATTAATTGAGTTCACACCATTGTGCGTCTTTCAGAGATTTCATGCACCTGAGACATCCAACATTCCGGGGCAAGAAAGGCTCCGCCAACTGAAAGCGTAACTAACCATTCAATCTTTGTATCCACGTGTCTGTCACCGAAAGCAAATTCAGGGGAGCTATCGTCCTGTTCAGACTTCCTGTCATTTACGCCTTATTTAAATCACTCGTGCACGTTATAATAATTATAGTTGTTTCAATAACGATGAAACGAAGTTATAACGCTTTTGAATTACCAGCCCATAGCACTGACTTCTAAGGGGTACTTCTTGAACATGTAAGGGGCGTTTCTAACAGTGAACCACAGGCTCTATTTATATCCAGACGCTTGGCATATCATAAAAATACCCACATGAGCCTGCTTCGCGAACATGAATTAAGATGAATCAATAAAATCTGCCATGAAGAAATGAAGGTCTGCCCAACATGTGCATCAAATGTTCTGTCAATTTAAACCTTCATTTATACTATGGACATCGAAATATTCACGTTAATGCACTCTACCTCAGAACAGTAGTGCAATAACGTGAAGATATCGATGATTATACCATAGATGAAAGCTGAAATTAACAAAATATATAATAAACAAGAATGGTCAGAGAAAACCTTTGGACGGCATGTCCTCAAGTACTCTACCTTGTCACACAGAATCGGAACTACACGCGTTATATAATCAGTGCGTACGGGACACCGTTCCCATCAGCTGTGTGAAGCAGGAGCTGTCGCTTCTGAATCATTTATCAGAGGAAGAAGGAAAAAAGAAAATAATTGTGAAGCGGGGAGGAATTCCATCCCTGTACCTTTTTTTCTTATACTTCTATGAATGGGCTTTTTAGGGAAATTAAATTAAATTCTAGTTTGTAAAATCTAGCGAATACTACACGTATGTTTATACCAGGACAGAAATTAAGTTAAATAGTGATGGGACCGAATATGTAAAATTGCAAGCATAGCCTACAGAAGTCATCAATTAATACTGATAGAATTGTCATAGATTCTGTACTGAAATATAAATTGTATGTAGTGTTTTTGAATACTAAGAATATTTATTGCACGTAAACCTACACACACACACACACATGTATGCATACACATATATACACACATGTGTCTTTATATTATACATCACATACACAGTCTTCCTCCCGGGCGCCTTCCTCTGCAAACTAGGGTCCCGAGCACGCCCGCGACTGCAACCGCCAACACGATCAGCAGAGGATCCACCCAAGAGCGCTCCGGAGTGTCCTTATCCGGCTGAAATTTTTATTTACGTTTATATAAATGATCCCTGAAATTGCTTTATTCGGTTATTTTGCTAATTATATTGACGTAGATCAAATGGAATTGCTTTTACAAAATTTTAATTTGATTATATTTTTCTCTTTAACCAGTTTATGTTTATCTCAAGTAAATTAACAAGTTATCCACATTATCATTCCCTTGTTACTGTATATCACATCTTGCGATTTTCAGCTAAAATGAAATTAGTCATGACTGATTTTGACATTAAGTTTCTGCCTTGTTTCAATCTCTAAATTCTTCAAACTTCCACATTTATCTTCGTGTAATTTCAATAATGTCCTCGCCCGGGTCAGTTTGCAACCTCTTCATTCCGTTCGATTTTTCTCTTATTTATCTATTCATTTATCATTATAATTCTAATTATCATTATTATCATTATCATCATTATTAGTATTATATATTATCATTATCATCATTATTAGTATTATTCATATTATCCTTACTATCATCTTATCATCATCATTATCGTTAAAACAATAACAATTATTATTAACTTCAACCCTTCATCCCGCCTGATAATAAAAACAAATACATTCACGTTTTATATCAAGGATCCTTCACCTTGCTGCCTCCATACCTGTGTCACTTCCGGAACGTAATGAAGATCCGGGGCCTGAAATTCAGCGATTTTGTCCTCACAATAGTTGAACAGAACAACCTGCCAAATAACAGTCCATTAAAAAAAAAAAAAAAAAAAAAAAAAAAAAAAAAAAAAGCCTGTGGATTTCTACGTTGTGGTTTAAGTGTGACTTTAGTTCCTCTCCATAATCAAAGTCTTCCAATGATTGAAACATGGATACTCAACCTAAAGGCCATGAGAGATTTTCTAGGGTCCGTGGAGTAGTATGAAAATTATGACTGAATTCAACTGGATTTTGTCTCACCTACAACACCTACGGATAATTATCTCTCATACATCAATGAATTAGAATCTTTCCAGGTAGCGTCCCTGTTATATGGCCGTTGGCACTTTCACACTATTCATAAGTTGACAGCCACTGATGACTCGGTAGGGGGCCATGAAGATCGTTATATTGGTCAGCGGCCTCATAATAGGAAGGGTATGTAACCACTGATATAGATCCTAAGCACAGACAAGTACCCTATCAGATAAAAGTCACTCCCGAAGTCGCAATTTCTATATTGGTAAAACTAGCAGACGAGCTATCTAACCAGTTTATCTACTCGACTGCTGTTCCAGACAATAATCCTCGTAGATGTTTCTCTCTAGATCAAGATATTTTAGCGAAAGCGAAACTAGAATGAGGACTTGTTTTGAAGTCCTATAGGAGGACCTTTTTCTTCTTTACCCATCAGCTGCACATGGTTCAGACTGGAAGGACAGACACACAAGCACAAACATAAATACATAGCAGTTGAAAGTAACTGATTGCAACCTGGTATGCTAGCTTTCTTCCACCCGAGCGCTTCCCGTCTCTCAGATCCGGGCGAGGTTGCAATCAGAGGAACCATCTTTTGCTCCCTCCTGCAGATTCGAACTCGCGGTCGCCGGTTCGACCCACTCGGCCGCGGTGACAGGTATCGACAGATTTGTTTTATAGACGTATTGTGCATTTTGTTTGTGTGTGTGCGTGTAATTACTAGTATCATTACTGTTATGATGATTATCATCATTATCACTATCATTTAATTATATGATTATTATGATTATTATTACTAATATCGTTATTATCATTGTTATTATTATCAGCATTACCATTATTATTATTATTATTATTATCATTGTTGTTGTCATCATTGTCATTATTACTATAATCATCATTATTATAATTATTATTATTATCATTATCATCAATACTACTATTTTCATCTCACTATTATCTTTGTTGCTCTTGCTTCCTTTGTTATTATCGTTACCTTTATCACCATTTATCATTGTCAAAATCGCTGTTATCATTATCATCATATTCATCAATATTATCACTAAAATCAACGTTATCAATATTTCTCTTAATAACTCTCCATGTGTTTTTCCAACACCATGGAAAACATACTTACATACGCGTAGTAATTTACGTACTCGAGGTTGTCCCATTCCACCTGGAAGATCAGTGAGCTGTTCTGGTACAAGAAACCGTCGATTTCTGTATACTCTTGCTGTAAATGTGTACAAATAGATTAATGCATAGCTTTAGAAAGAGGGTGGAAATTTTGGCTTAAATTGCGAAGTGGTCTCTTGCTCACTTTTACCCATTTCTCTCTTTCTGTCTGTCTCTGTCTCTGCCTGTCTCTCTCTCTCTTTCTTTCTCTCACACACACATTCTCTCTCTCTCTCTCTCACACACACACATCTCTCTCTCTTTCTCTCTCTCACACACACACACATTCTCTCTCTCACACATACAAACACACAGACACACACATCTCTCTCTCTCTCCCTCTCCTACTTCTCCTTCTCCCTCTCCCTCTCTCCCTCAGACATGTCTACCCCTTCTCAATCATTACCGGACTTTTGAATGGCCTGAGTCTAAGCTTGTACAGCATATGTTTATTCCATTTAACGACCAATGCCGATGTGTTGCCTCTCTGTGTCCTGAAAAGAATGATACGAAAATATAAATTAAAGAAAAAAATGATTTCGTATAGCACGCGGCTACTGAATACAGAGGATAACGTGACTAAATAAATGTACCACTTATGTAAATAAAAAAATACCAGTTAAAAGAATTCCGTTTATTCATAAAAATCTACCAATTCAAAATA